TGTATCTGTGTATTCAAAGTGGTTAGGATAGATATATAGTTACATTCTCTTAATGAATAGAGGGATTTGTTCTAATGGTGTCTGTAAATAGGATATCATGTCCACATCTTGTACAGCAGTGAATCACTAGGAAGAATGTATACAATGTGTTGATTATTGAAACTGCCCTACCAGTTTGATTTAAAACTCTCATTGCTATTTGTTTCTCAATAAAATTATGGAAAAAACACATTAAGATACTGAGGGAGACACAAGTTTATTAGAGGTCTATATCAACTTAGTTGATATATAAATAATAAAATACATTTCCTGTGATATTGCCACCTTTTCTTAATCCTTCTTGAGCATAGTGTGTAACATTTAGTAAGCTTCATTGAAGCTTGAATGGTGAGCTCCAAAGCAAACACGCTAGGCTACTGCTAGCATAGGTACACCTTACGCAGCATGTGGATAGTCCACTTGGAAGATCACTTACATCTTAAGCCACCTGGATACCTGTGGAACTTCAAATAGAATATATAAGCCATGTTTTATGTTTCCAGAATCCTGAGCTACATGTGTAATTCATTGAAATATAATTTCAGGTAAAACATGGCTACTCCAAGAGAGTCTGGTGTACACTCATAGGAAAGACATTGTATTATTTTCGCAGTCAAGAAGATAAGGTAAGTATATTATTTTAATATGCTGATAAGAGGATTTTGTTATGCTTGCTAATCACTTTTGTTCTTTCACTGCTAAGTAATACTTTAAATTTTTTGGTAAGGATAAATTTTGGTGTTACGTGTACTGCTGAGGGAATCATAGTTATCATCTTCAAAAGTCCTGATTCTTAATTTAAGCCTCACAGCTCTTAACTGATGCATCTTCTGCAATGCAGCAGAGAAAGCCTTCTTGTATTCCCATCCCCACTATCACTTTGTCATGTTTCCCTACAGTCTTACAAATGGGATGAGGTTGGGAGGAAAAAAAAACAGTGAGCTAGGAAAGAAGGTATGAGGAGAGATTTTGGGTACCACTTATCTGTTCAGGTGCCTGCTGATTTATATCCCATTTATTCATTTTAAACTAGTCTCCCACCCTAAAGAACTGGAGTTTTCTTACTCACTTTCTGAGTAAAACTGTGGAATGTCTTCCAGTGAGTTGAATGCCCATTCAGCCGCAGGGCACCCTCTGTCACCCTGGGATCACTGGAACTGTAAAAATTGAGCCAACATGGGCCATGAATGATGTGCAAAAAATAAAGATGTCAGCTGCACAGAATAGCAGCCTATGACTAATTAGAGTGTTAATGAGACTAAATTTCTTGGTCCACTGGCCATGTGTATCAGTGAATAGACTCCTTTTTCACAGACTGCACTTTTGGCTCTAATCAGCTGTATTTAAAACACTTGCCATTGAGGGCCAGCGAGCTAGCTCAGCAAACTAAGACCCGCCCCCAGCACACTGATGGGGAGACTGGGTGTGGTGGCGCATACCTGCCGGGGAGGCTAAAAACAGGAGGATCGCTACAAGTCCAAGCTGCATAGCGAGACGCTGTACCAAATACATAAAAATAAATAAAGAAGTAAATAAATAAAACACTTGTCATTCTATGGGATGGGAGGTAACACATAATCTCTACTAAAAAGAATGTTTAAAAAAAATGTAAGAAATTACATATAAATGGTACCTAAATAAGTACAGGGCAAAACTGTAGTCAGCATCACCCTAACATGTCAGGCAAACAGAAGCTATTCTATATAGTTCATCTATAAAGTCTTAATATGAATCAGGTGTGGTGGTGCGCACCTGCAGTCCTAACATTTTAGGAGGCTGGAGCAGGAGGATTGAAAGGTTTTTTGTTTTTTTTTTTCCGGAACCAGGGATTGAACTCAGGCCCTTGTGCTTGCCAGGGAAGCACTTAATCCACTGAGCCATCTCCCTGGCCCGGATTGAAAGTTTGAGCACAACCTGGACAACTTAGAGATCCAGCAAGACCATTTGTCACAATAAAAATTAATTAATTAGTGAATTCTTTAAAAGGTTGGGGAGATAGCTCAGTATGAAGGCCGTGAGTTCTACCCCCAGTGCCACCCCCCAAAAAACAGCATGAATGTAGGATTAGGGGCGAACATGATGTGGAAAAGTTACACACTTTATGTAACTTTTAGAAAAGTTGAGGGAGTAGAGGGCAGAAAACTCCACTGTTGACATCAGGCCAAAGCCCTGTGGCAGGAAGTCATCAAGAGCGCCCTGGGAGCCTCTGCAGAGTTCACTCTGCCCAGACATCTGGCTGCAGAGCGCCTCAGGAGGCGAGCCCCTTCTCTCACTTTTATTGCAGATTCTCTTCCAGGAAAACCGCAGCTTGGGGCAGTTCAGGTTAGGAGAGTCTGATACCTGCACTGTCCAGCTACTGTCCTGACGCTGTGGGAGACCTCCCAGAAGGCTGGTCGGGGTGCTGAGGTTTAATTCCCAGTGTGTCACCTCGAGGGAAAAATATGCATGGTACCTTGACCAGAACTGTGCCAGAATGCTGCATGGCCTCTGTAATAATGGAGTAACGGGTGGTTTTTTCCTTCTTTTTGCAAATACCTTTCTATAATTGCCAAGCGTGTCTAGTAAGTATAAATGTAAGAAGTTACATATAAATGGTAACTAAATAAGTACAGGGCAAGCATTGATTACAGAGGAAACTATTGAAAATGTAGATAAATAACAGAAATCCATTAAAATTGTTAGAAAAGTTTTAAGAATACATTTGAATCTGTATAGGACCACTTTCTTTTGTGCTGTAGATATTTCCAAAATAATTTTGAAATCTGGATCAGTGCTTTTATTTTTTATTAAGTCAAAATACTTGAAAGCAGTAGTTCCATTGGCTATTTTGGCATGTGTTTTGGTAAGATGAATAGCCACGTTATGGTGGAGAAGGCACAGATTTTCTTAGAATTGATGGGGTTGGAGCCTACAATTAAAACAGTATTGTATCATCATAGTAGAATTCATTTTCATCATTGCATCTTTAAAATCCTACTTTTTATTTAGGAATGTGACTTTTTCTGCCTTGTTTTGCCTTTGGTTTACTACCTTTCTTTTCCCAAAAAGTAAATTGATTTTCCGTTTTTCCTTTAGAAGAAAATGGTATTATTCAATGCCAAGCATAGTGCTTTGCACATAGTAACTGTTCAGTAGATAATTGTTATTAATTAAATGTGGAAAATCATGTTTCTCCTGAAAGACAGTGCATTTAATTAATCAGCTGTTAGGCAGATAATAGTGAATTCCCTGTAAGATACCCAGGAAAGGCTGCACTAAGATGCTAAAACTTTCCCTAGGTCCTGAGGGAAGGCAAAGAGCAGCCAGGAGCACTCCAGGCAAGGGCTCTGGGTGTGAGAGCCTGAGGCAGGAACAGGCTGGTGTGAGGGGGATCTCTGGAACATGTGACTCAGCCAGAGTCTTCAGAAAGAAAATAACGGGAGACATGCGCAGAGTTGGAGTGGGGTCTGAATTACATGGGACCTTAGAGGTCAAAATAGAAGATCTAGCTTCTTAAAGAAAGTACAGTTTTACCTCTGCCTTCGTATGATTTTCAGTTGGCCTGAGAATTAAATTAACATAAAACAGATTGCAGGAGAAAAGTGTACACATTTATGTAATGTAAGTCTCATTGGACACTGGACCCTTTTATGGAAATGAACCCAAAGACATAGAGTTGAACCCTTACAAATTGATCTGGGCAAAGTGTAGTTAAGCTGAAAATATATGAAAGGCAAGGGGAGTTGGGCCCGGATCACTGATGCGTGAGGTGACAGCAGCATGAGGGATGGTGCAACTAGCCTTGCTCCTCGAGTGTCCCTTGGCCTCAATTTCCTGTCCTTGCCAGTAAAATTGTTTTCCTTTTGTTGTGGGGAGGATTTCTTCCATATGTGAGTCTGATCTCTTGCCTTTGGGAAGAAAAAGAGGAGAATCAGGTCTTTCTTGGCTCTGTTGTTTTTAAAAGATGCCATTAGTTCAAAATAACCCAGATGCCAAATTGATGCTTTCTGAGGTCGTTTGTTCTGCCACCCTTGAGCTTTTGCTCTGGGTGACCTGAGAAGTCCTGGAGCCTTTCCAGCAGAGCAGTCAGATGGTCCCGCCATGTCTTGTGGAAACATTTGGCTTCTATTTAGAAATAAATTGAAGGGAAGGAGCATCAGCCTACTGTAGTCAGGAGGCTGTCACAGTAACCCAGGCAAGAGGTGGCTAGTGGTAGTGGTGGCAGTGAGGATCTGAGATATGTCCAGAGTCTGGGGATACCTGACAGTCTTGCTGACAGGATGTATTGACTGGAAAGGTCTGAAGGATGAGAGAAAGACAGGGTCAGCAAGGATGCCAAAATTTTTGTCCTAAACAGCCAGAAAAATGAAGTTACCAACAACTGACCTGGGGAAGGCTGGGTGGAGCAGGGTGTTGAGGTGAACTTACAAGGTAAATTTGAGATGCTGTTAAACCTCTCACAGAAATCGTGAGTCTGGAGTGATCCGTTTGGGAAGAGCTAACATGTTCTATGATGAAAGCCAGGAGCTTGGGTGAGCTCACCCAGGGAATGAGTGTAGATGGGAGAGAGTCCAAGCACCGCGCCCTGGGACACAGCCTGCAAATGTGTGGTGGTAGACAGCCCGTGGTCAGAACGCACCCTCTAAGAACTGCAATTGGAAGCCTTGCCAAATGTTTTTAGAAGTTATAAATCAGAAGCACACTGTATTTTCCTGGAATAAATGTTCTTAATTAAAGTAAGAGTTTTAAAATAAATATGGTACATATCAAACATAGATATATTTGCTTTGGTCACTACAAGGATAGATAAAGTATTACATAAATTCACTCTAGGATGGTTTTATTGCCTTTAAATTAAGAGGCAGACAATTATTACATTGTTTTGGGATATACTGCATATTTTAATGGCCTTTGAACCCTCCTCATTTGCTAGGTTCTGGGGTGAGAGTTAATCTTTGTACTGGTTGTTTACTTTTGTTATTTTTTTCTATGAATGATTTTAAGACTTTTCTTTAGATCTTTTGATCCAGCAGCTTAATCAAATAACTAATTAACTCTCTAGGTCAAACAAATCATTTTTAACTGAATTAATATTAATTATGTGAATAGGTAATGAGTCATTTTAGTCTAACCAAATAATCTGCAGCACTGCTTCTTGCTTTTTCCTACCAAGTTAGTCATCCAGGAGACTGGATATTGTTCTTTTACATCACAGCTGGGCTTACTGGTTGTTACTGCATTTATAGCAAGATGGATAATCCTATGGTTTCCTCAGTATTTGATTTTTATGCTCACTGGCTGTGGTGGCACATGCCTATAGCCCCAGCACTCTTGGAGGCTGAGTCAGGAGAATTGCAAGTTCAAGCCCAGGCTGGACAATTTAGTGCCTTCATGAGACCCTGTTTCAAAATAAAAAATAAAGGGCTAGAGATGTACTTTAGTGTGAAAGTCCTGGATCCAATCTCCAGTAACCTTTTAAAGGTAAAAATGAAAGAACCACGAAACCTTTTAGTGGGAAAAGACTTAAAAAGTAACTCCCTTACAATGGCTGACATTTGTTTTAGTTTCCTCTAGGTCAGATCAAACTGTGGGAGGCAAAAGTTGAGGAGGTGGACAGGTCCTGCGATTCTGATGAGGATTATGAAGCCAGTGGCCGCAGCCTGCTCTCCACCCACTATACTGTCGCTGTCCACCCCAAAGACCAAGGTCCAACTTACCTCCTAATTGGATCCAAGCATGAAAAGGTACTTAAAGAGGCACTGGTTGATTTAAAATGATGTAGGCTAATATTCAGCTACAGGTAGGTAATATTTTAATCAATTTTATGGAAAAGAGAAAGAATTTTGAGTCTTCAATGCTGAAGACGCAATGGTATTTTCAGAGGTTCTTTGGCAGTGAACCTTGTTTGATTATTATTTCAATCTTGTTGATAAAATGTCATCTCAAGGCTGAAATTAGCACATGACAGTGGAGGACAAAAGAATTCATGTAAAAATGTGGATCTCACCTGCTGGATATTTTTAGGTAAATCAAATGCCTCTACCTTATATTTTGGAGTAATTGCTAATAAAATTTTGGTTTGACTATAATTGAGAATTATTTTATGTCTTATATGTATGAGTAGTCATATATAAAGAAGTTATTACAAATTAATGTGGAAGTATTACATTATGTATATATCATATATATTGTATGTTTATTATATTTTGACAGAATTGGGTGGTAAGGTAAAATGTTTCCTTTTATCCCTAACATACAGCAAAATACTTACAGGTAAATTGAAACCGTTAAAGAATTCAATAAAATTATTTTTTTTAAAAGCCTTTATCTAGCACCTGACAGGCTGAGGCAAGAGGAGGATCAAAAGTTCAAGATCATTTTAGACTACATAGTGAGTTCAAGGCCAGCCTAGACTTCACTATCTCAAAAAAAAAAAAAAAAAAGACCTTAAAACCAGGTGTGTTGGTGCACACCTGTAATCCTAGCACTCAGGAGGCTAAGGCAGAAGGATTGTTACAAGTTAAAGACCAGCCTTGGCTACAGAGTGAGCTCAAGGCCAGTCTGAGCTGCATAGGGAGACCCTGTTTCAAAAAGACTTTATCTCATCTCTGAATAGAAGTGCTTTCTAAGAAAAAAAAAAAAAAATCTCTTCTTACAGGAGACTGAGCTGCTGATGCCAGCGCCTGGGTTCTGACGCTCAGCTCCACTGCTTCCCACTTGATTTCAGAGACTTTATTTTCAGGAGAAAAATGGAAAGAAAACTCAAGAGTTTACTGCGGAGGTCCATGGCTAAATAATGTTTAGACTCATACTCGAATAAATGTAAAATTTTAAAAACACTTTTATTATCTCTGAAATTATCAAAGATCTTAAAAATTATTTTAGTGCAACTGTAGTGAGATAAGTACTCTCACACAGCACTGAAGAGAATATAAATTTGTGTATTCACTCTAGGAAGCACTTTGAAAGCACGTGTCAAGAGTTCTGACAAGTTTTCCTGCCCTGGTAACGATCCATTATTGTTTTTGAAGAATATATACTAAAGAAATGTTTGTAAATGCAACCAAAGATTTATATATAAAGTTATTGGCTATATTTTTTTGAGACAGGGTCTTGCTTTGTAGGCATCCTCCTATGTCAGGCTCCCAAGTGCTGAGACTACAGGCGTGCACCTCCATGCGTGGCTATAATGGTATTTTTAAGATAATTTCATCTCTGAAATATTTGAAGCAAAGAAAATATAGTAAATGTAAAAGATGTTAGATGTCACGATATTTTTATCAATGAGAAATAAACAGCTATTTAAGGTTTAACAATAGGAAATTGATTAAATAAATATGGTATGGCTATATAATAGAATAACCTGTAGCCATTAAGGGCTAGGGAGATAGCTTGGTGGTCTAAGTGCCTACCTGGCAAGTGCAAGGACCTGAGTTTGATCCCTGGTGCCACATCCATGCTGGCCCTGTAACCTCAGGTGTACCATGCCAGCTCCAAAACCAGGCATGGTGGTGCATGCCTATAATCCCAGCATTGGGGAGGCTGAGACAGGAGGATCACTATGAGTCTGAACTGTGTAGCGAGAGCCTGTATCAAATAGATGAATACATAAAATTTTTAAAAAATATACTTGCTACACCATCCTCTCACTCACGAGGCTGAAGTAGGAGGATGGTGAGCTCAAGGCCAGGCTGAGTTACGTAATGACTTCAAGGCCAATGTGCACTACATCGCAAGCCCATGTCTCAAAACAAAATGAAACAAAACTGTGTATAACAAATTCCTAGCAACAGGGAATTATTGTACTTTACTAGTAAGATTCAAGAAGTTATATTTTAGCATGAAAACTATGAAAAAATTTAATCTACACTTATATTTTCATAGAAAACATAAAAGATAATCTTTGGGGAGTGAAAAAATTGGATATTTCTCCCCTCTTTAAATTTTCAGGATTTCTTAAGTATTCTCTATGTATTGCTTTGGCAAGATTTTAAATGGGGTAAAATTTATTATAGTGCTAAAAACAGTATTAGCTTATATTTATTCTAGTCACTTAACATGTGTTACTCTTCCTAATAGTGTCATGCTTTTCTAAGAAACATGTATAGAAAATAATAAAAATGTGAACAAGGAGGAAAGGGGAACAGGGGAACAGTGCAAATGAGCCCACCTCACAGCTTTCACTAAATGGCTTCTAGTTGTTATTTTTATTTTTTTATTATTATTTTTGTGTGCATGTGGCTGGCTCAGCCCGCCCTGGGCGCGGGGTTGGCATGGCATGTGGTGCCCAGGGGAGGGATCTGAACTGCGGTCCCTAGGCTTGCCTGAGCTGGCTAGCACTTTACACTGCTGAGCTATCCTGCTGGCCCCTCTAATTGTTATTTAAGAATTAAAGTGGTTTCTTTTCCTTCTCCCAGCTCCCCACTGTTTATACAAGTTATTTTCCTTCACTGATCAAAACTGCTTCCTCTCTACTTCTGTGCTCTGATTTTAAGGACACTTGGCTTTATCATCTGACGGTTGCTGCTGGAAGTAACACCGTAAATGTTGGATCTGAATTTGAACAACTCGTTTGCAAACTGCTAAATATAGAAGGGGAACCTTGTAAGTTCAGAAGCATAAACAGCTGGCTTTATGGTTTATGAAAGAAACTCCAAACTCCTTAGCCTATTGGAGTTTTTACTTTGTGGACTGTCTTGTGTCCCTATTGTTTACCCACCTTGTCATGACAGTGGGCCAGAATTGTCATTAGGGTTCCTAGGCTTCGGGGACATCACCGGTCCCCCAGATGCTGTGTCCTGCCACACCCTTTGCTCTCTCCTCTTGGAATGCCCTCCTCCTTGGCAGACCTTACCCTGCTGGCCTCAGACTCCTCGCTCTCCAGGTCAGCAGCTGACTCCCGAAAGGAGCCAATCAGTATTAAAATCATGTCCCGGTGCTCTTTGCCACTTAACTGCCTTAAAGCATTTATAGTTTTGTGTTGAAGTTATCTTCTGTGGCCAAGGGATCCCAATGAGAGTTTAAGTTGTATCCCGTGCTTAAATACAGACTACATTTTACGTGCAGTGTACAGAATAGGGATTGATTCACTATTGGTTTTAGGATTCCCTTCTAGTTCTGCTTTCTCTTTGTATCTTCTCCTTGGCGCTTATGTATCCCCCTCCTGCTCGGACCCTACCTAGGTCTCCATCTGCTGACACATTGAAGCAACATGGCATTGCCCTGACATGTTGCAGGCCAGCAAATCAGAACCCCAGCTCTTCTACATTTTGTTTATCCAACATCCCAATGGCCTGACAACTGGAATAAAATAATGGTACTAACAGTACCAAAGTTTCCCCCGACCTTTGTGATGAGAGTTGTGAGAGAGTCCTGGTAGAGCTGACTTCTAGCGGGTTCATTTAATGGGAAGCTGAAATAAGCGGATCACTTTGTTTTCTGTTCCTGCGCTCTCCTGTCCAGCCTCCCAGATCTGGAGACACCCCACTCTGTGCCACAGCAAGGAAGGAATCTTGTCCCCGCTGACAACGCTGCCTTCTGAAGCTCTGCAGACGGAGGCTATCAAGTTATTTAAGGTAAAAGGATATGTTGAGCCTATTTTTTAAACTGAGCCTAATTTTAAAAAATGCTAACTTTGGTTATAAACTTTCACCCTCTCTAAGAATACTGGAACTATAATTGTTGTTAAGAAAAACCTACAAGAGGTGGGGGAGATGGCTCAGTAGAATAAGCGCTTCCCTGGCAAGCGCAAAGGCCTGAGTTCAATCCCTGGTTCTGCCAAAACAAAAACAAAAACAACCTACTGAAATAAAATTAGATGAATTTCATGTGCTTCCTGAATAATGATTTGAGATTTACTGAAACACACTGTGTGCGGTTTAGGCCCTAGAAAACTTGGCTATCAAAAGATAGCATTTCCCATTTGCTTCTCAGATGGGAAGATTTTTCACATCACATCAGCCTCAGCGTTGGGAGAGGACCAGCAGCCTCCTCCTCCCTCTCCAGCTCTACCTTTAGATTCTTCTTTCTCAGTCTCTGTTAGAAATTACTGATCAGGCTGGGGAGATAGCTCAGCAGCCTAAGTACCTGCCTGGCAAGCGCAATGGCCCGAGTTCAATTGCTGGTACAAAAAGAGAGAGAGAGAGGGAAGAAAGAAAGGATTGATCACTTGAAACTCACTCACCAGCTGTATCACTTTGTTTTCTCAATTTTTATTTTTGTTGGTACATATTTGCAGTATATATTTATATCCCTTGTGTTGAGTTGGTACACATACATAATACATCTTAATGTTTTATCCCTCCCCCATTTCTTCCCTGCTCCATCTCTTCACTCTCTTCTCTTTTCAAAAGATCTACCTCTCTATTGCCTTTTATCTGTATTTTCTATTTTGGCTCTTTATTTATAGTTTGTATTAGTCATAGAGGAATCATGGGATATTTAAGCTTGTGTATCTGATTTATGTTACTTAATGTTATGGTCACAAAGTATATCCATTTTTGTACAAATGATTCAAGTTTATCCTTTCTTTCTTCCTCCTTTTTCTTTTCTTTTTTTTTTTTTTTTTTTCTTCCATCTTTTTGAGACATGGTCTTGCTGTGCAGTTCAAACTTGCATTCACTTTGTAGCCCCAGGCTGGTCTCTAACTTGAAACAATCCTCCTGAGGCCTGTGCCACAGCGCTCAGCTAAGCTTATCCTTTCTTTTTTTTTTTAATTTTTATTTATTTATTTAAGAGAGAGAGAGAGAGAGAGAGAGAGAGAGAGAGAGAGAGAGACCAGCTCAGCCCACCAGGGGGCAGGGCTGGCTGGCATGTGGTGCTGGGGGATTGAACCGCGGTCCCTGATGCTTTTGCTAAGCTTGTTCTAAGTAGGTGCTTTAGACCACTGAGCCATCTCTCCAGCCCAGCTTATCCTTTCTTATGGCACCGTAGTACTGCATTATTTATAAAAGTCAAACTTTTTTAAATCCATTCATCTGTTGATGAACATATAGTTTCTTCCAAGATTTAGCTATTATGAATTGTGCTGCCATAAACATGAGTATATATGTATCACTGTAATATGATGTTTTTAACTCTCTTGGGAAGGTACCTAGAAGGAAAATACTTAAGTTGAATGGAATTTCTAGTTTTTAGGTTTTTGAGGAGTCTTATTACTGATTTTCATAGTGCTGGTGCCAGTTTACGTTTCTGCCAGTAGAGCAGAAGGGTTCCTTTTTCCTTGCAGCCTCTTTAGCTTTGTTATTGTTTGATCTCTTGATGACATTCTTTCTGGAGTGACGTGGAGCCTCAGTTTGCATTTCTTTAATAGCAAGAGATGCTGAACATTTTTTCCTTTATTTATTGGTAATCTGTAATTCTGCAGTGGGAGGCTGAGACAAGAGGATTGCTGTGAGTTCAAGGTGAGCCTGAACTACACAATGGGACTTTATCTCAATTGCTTTTGCCCATTTTTTGATTGGGTCTTTTATTTGGCTGGGATCTAATGTTTTTGAGTTATTAAGGTATTCTAAATATTACTTCTCTGTTGGAGAAGTAGCAGGCAGAAATTTCCCATTCTGTGTGTCTTCACTCTGTGCTGGTTCCCTTTGCTCTGCAGAGACTTTCTGATATTTTCCCATTTGTTTGTTCTGAGTACTATTTCTTGTGCAGTTTCGGTTTTGGTCAGAAAGCCCTTGCCTACCCTATACCGACCCTTCAAGAATTTTACTTGCTTTCTTTTCTAGAAGATTAATTGTTTCTCTTTAACACTTAGTTTTTTGTCAATTTCAATTTTAGTTTAGTACATGGTGTGTGATATGGGTCTAGAGTTAATCTTCTGCATGTGGAAAGCCAGTTCTTCCAGCACCATTTGTTAAAAAGGCTGTATTTCCACCAATGTCAGACACACAAGTTGAAATATCACATGGGTTTTCTTATATGAGAAACCCAAGATGCACATAAAGAGCAAAATAAAAGACAGAAAATAGGGGGGTAGATCTTTCTCATATGTGAAGGATGTCGAGGGATGGAGGGAGCGGGGAAGGGAGGGAGGGGCATGAAAGAAGAATGAAGGTGTGTTGTGTACATGTGCCAGCTGCCCTAGAAACATGTGCAGTACTGATACAAGGTAAAATTTTTTCTTTGGAGAATTGATAAGCATACATGTATGCAGAAACTATCCAAGACTGGAGAGAGAGCTACCAGAAAGGAACAGGCAGAAAACTCTCTGGGAGTCACTCAGAGCTAGAAATTATTTTTGTGTCATCTAAAAGGGAGAGATAGCCTAACACATTGGGCATCAATTAAAATGGTCAAGATCACTGCCCAAGTGATGAGCCCAGATAGTCCTAGACCAGTAGTGGCAAAACTGTGGCACACATACCATAGCAAGCTGTTGGTCTCAGCGAGGCTCCAACACGCTCCCCATCACTCTCCTAGACTGATGTAAACCTAAAACAAGCCTTGAAAGAATCAAATTATTTGCAGGTAATTTAACTGAATCTTAGAATAGAAGTCAAAAATATTAAAGAATACCAAAAAATTCAGACTCTTACAATAAAATTTTTACTATATCTACATCAAAGCAAAATCTGGGTGTGTAGGTGCACGCCTGTAATACCAGCACTTGGGAGGCTGAGATAAGAAGATTGCTGTGACTTGGTTTAAGGCCAGGCTTGAACTACATCATGAGACTTTGACTCAAACAAACAAACAAAAAATTGCAGGCATCTGAGAATAGGGTTAAGTTATATCATACTTAACCTAATTAAGCAATGAGAAAAAGCAATATAAGAAAAAGCTATCACATAAATCTCTCTGGAAATCTCTCTAGAAATGATAAAGTTGATAGCACCCAAGAACACTTCTGTTACTCCATTTAAAAATTTTCCCCAACATTTACAACAAACACTTAATATTTCACACGGTTTCAGAGGGAAAGCATTTAGCTGGGTGGTCCTGGCCCACGGTCTCAAGAAGTTACTGTCAAGCTGGAAGCTGGGGCATCCGAAAACCTGAGTGGGATGGAGAGGCCAGACCTGCGCGCATGGCTGTTAGCAGGAAGTTCCGTTCCTTACTGCAAGGCTCTCAGGACAGGACCGCTGCACGCCCAGCAGCAGCCAAGATGGAAGCCACATATCTTTATAACCTAATCCTGGAAGCTTCGGATTATCATATATAAACCTTCAGAATATTCATGTCCTCCAGATGAACTGACCCCTTTGTCGTTGTAAGGATGGCCTTCTTTATCTCTGGCAGAACTTTTTGAAATTTACTTTGTCAGCTGTTATCACAGCCACTCAGAATTTCTTTTGATTAGTATTGTGTTAATATATTTTTCCCCATCATTTTAGTTTTTTTTTTTTTTTGTGTAGGGTCTCACTACACAGCACACATTAGTAGTGATCCTCCTGATTTCTGCCTCTCAAGTGCTGGGATTACAGGCGCGGGCCACCACACCCCGACTCCCATCCCCGGCTCAGCGCACCCAGGGGCAGGGCAGGCGTGGCATAAGGAGCCAGGGATTAAACCCTGCCCCCTGTGCTCACCTAAGCAAGTGCTTAGTCCACTGAGCTATACCACCGGCCCGTCTCACCATCATTTTAAACAAAAATTATCTCTAAAGAGAAATTGAACAAGTTAGTTGAGATAATTGTACTAATACTTTCTATTAGTTTATTGAAAGGAACAGTTAGTGTTTATATTATTTGGTCAGTTTTACATGCCAATATCTGATATCTGAGCAACTACTTTGAACACAATATGCATTATAATAATCACTGTTAATTTCCTATTACATTGTTTTGAAAATCTGTATCATTTTTATTGTTTTTTATTCTCTTTAAAATAAAAGTCAGACAACCAGATAGCTCAGCTGGCTAAAGACCCTGCTTAGGAAGACACAGGGACGGGGGAGCAATTCCCAGTATGTAGTACCAGCCCCGCTCCCGGGGCGTGCTGAGACTGGGCATGGTGGCACGTGCACGCCTCTAATCCCAGTGCTTGGGAGACTGAAAACAGGAGGATCTCTATAAGTCCGATCTGTGTAGTGAGACTCTGTAGACCCTGTACTAAATACATAAAATCAAATAGAAAAAAGAAATTGAGTATAAATCATACAGAAGAAATCTAATTATTTCTCAACTTTCTTTTGGCTCAATTCAGACCTGCCAGCTTTTCATAAATGCTGCGGTTGACTCCCCTGCGATTGATTACCACATATCTCTAGCCCAGAGTGCTTTGCAGATCTGTCTGACACATCCCGAGCTACAGAATGAAATTTGCTGTCAGCTTATTAAGCAAACAAGACGAAGACAGTCACAGAACCAAGCAGGGCCGTTGCAGGTATGTACGGATACATACACATGCAGTATAAAGGGATGCTGTTCTCCTGATTACAAGAATTATGCGTTTAGTATAGATGAAAAGTGAAAGGAAAACAGCTAATTAATATTTTTATCTATGTCCTTTTGGTTTATATATCAGTATATTTTTATATGAATGTGTATTATGTATAGTTTTGTTTTGACAGAACTGGGGATTGAATTCAGACCCTTGCGCTTGCTGGGCAAGCGCTTATTGTATTGAGCCATCTCCCTGGCTCCTAAGTATAGATTTATGGACACAATTTTTCATGCTACTGGAGTTACACTGTATATTTTACTTTTTTAAACTATAGAACATAATCAAAAATAATAAAACAATAAAAATAAACAATAAAAACATAATAAAACAATAATGGTCACATTAATACTAATTATTACAAATGTGTTTTGTATAATAAATTCCTTTAGAGTAGACATCTTTGAAAGTAAATTTTATGTGAAGAACCACTAAATTCCTTTCAGCCCAATTTCCCTATATTGTCAGTACTACTCAATGTAATTATTTCTTTAAATTCTTTCCAGGATAAAAACTAATATTGAATTGAGGGCTCCACATTGAGCTATATCCTCAACACTTTTTATTTTGAGACAGGGTCTTAGTAAGTCTCTAAGTTGCCCACGCTGGACAGAACTTGTGACCTTCTTGCCTCAGCCTCTAGATTGCCAGGGACGCAGTTGTGCCCCATCATGCCTGGCTGAACGCCTGTTTTTATCTTGGCCTATTGAGTCCTTGTCTACACAGGATAAAAGTGACATCTCTTAACCTAGCGTATAGGACTCTAAAACTTAAATACAAATTTCAGAGGATTTGAAGTTTACGTAATTTTTAGAGATCCTCTTTGAGAAAAACAGCACAAAATATGTTACGTCTCCCCAGCTTTAAAATCATGACCACGTCAACACAGTTGACAGCACCAGCGCCCTTCACGAGGCCCTGGAAGGGGCTTGTCCATGACAAGAGTTCTGCAGCTTGAATTCATACACTTATGCTGTTAGCAACTCTGCTTCCAGCAGGCAGTGACTGAATCCTGAATCCTCTCTGTTGTTCCCGCATACCCGCATTTGGAGTGTTCTCTCCTTGTGCTCGGCAGCAGCCCTGTTTCCTGGAGTCTCCTGTCTTCCCTCCCACTTGCAGACTTCTCTCCCCTAGCTGCATCTTCCCTGTGAGCCCTTCTGTCACTCCACCAGCAGTTAGTTATTCCTTCCATTGTGAGGCTTATAGAATTAATTCACAGTATTACTGTGTTATATGATAATTTACTTTTAGATATGTAGCTATCACCTACGAGACAGGCTGTAGGCTTCTCAAAGGCAGGGACAGTGCCTAATCCCTTCTCCATTTTTATATAATATTTTTAAAATATCAAAGTTATTATACTTGCTTAGTGAGAAAAAATATATGGGAAAGAGAATACAAAATAGAGCAAAGGAAAAGAAAAAAATCACATCTACAGCTCTTGATATTTTTATACTTGCTACATACAGGGAGGGCTTAGATGCGTTCTGGTTTTGAGTATATGATTTTTGTACAATGTTGTAATCTGCCTTTCTCAAAGTTACTTATATTCAGTGAGTGAGTAAATAACATTACTGAGCAAAAATGATGTTTGTAATCAATGAGTGTGATGTCAAAAATACCACCACATCTACTAGTGTTGATGCCTCGGTTGTGGACGACAAAATACACAACTAGTTTCCTCATGCACTTCTATGCGGCTAATGTAGTATACGTGCTCTAAAGAGATCGTGACCTGCAGGAGAGGCAAAACATTGCCGGATGAAGAGAGACAGTATCGGGGCGTATGGCTGCCGTGCTTTCTGACCTACCTCGCCTCTCCTGTGCAGGGCTGGCAGCTCCTGGCGCTCTGCGTTGGTCTCTTCCTTCCCCATCACCCTTTCCTGTGGCTCCTCAAGCTCCATCTAAAGCGGAATGCAGATTCCAGGTGTGCAGAAAACCGAACTGTCTGCGTGGCCTCTGAAAACCTACCAAAAAGTCATAAGTATTTGAAAACATTACACTTTCAAAAGAATGTGTGAAACAAATATTGGTGTAGGAAGCCTTTGGTTACCATTGACGCAGAGCTTAGAGCGTATCTCTTTCGTCATAGTGAATTTCTAATGGAGGATGTCAGTAAAAGCAAAGAGAAAAGTCAGTGTGAGTTTCCACTATGAATGACAGCACCGTGGGTGCTCACTCGGTAAAAACAGCTATGTTATTCCCTTAGTTGGTCCTTTTGCTGTTTTTCTCCACATTAAATTCTTTTTTTGTGGCACACTTTCCCTATGGTCTTCCCTGGGCTTTTGCAATTATAAGTATTTGAATTACTTCAGAATTTTTACTCCCTTAAAAAAGATATTTCAAATCCATCACTCAGGGTAGCTTTCTTGGAACAGGACCACCCTGAGGTTCGTGTTAAGTTAGTTAATTAGACTCTGAGATAAACACAAACAAATGTCCGATGAAAACAAAAAGCAACTTGGAAACAGTAGGAAAATGCCCTGCAGGTCACTGCACATCCAAGGGCCTCTGGGATTAAGGTTATGTGATTGCTATGATAGTCATTTGAATACAAGTATATTTACAGGTACTATTGCTCTATAAACAAAGATTACATACAATTCTTTTTTTTTTTAGTTAAATCATGATTTTATTGCTCAAGTACATAAATTTATGCCACCAGGGCAGAGGCTGTGGATGACTCCTATTTCCAGTTGTGGGGGAGGACCTGCTTGGTCTTAGAGTATCGAGCCAATCAATGAATCCGACTCAGTGAGGATCAGGCAGAGCTTGGCATCCTTATCCTTTCTGTCCCTCTCAAGATGCTTTCGAACAGAAACCGCTTTCTTAATTAAACAGTAGAGATCCTCAGGGACATCAGGAGCAAGTCCTTTAGGCTTACAGATTCTCGAGATTTTATTACCCATCACAAAACGTACTTGGGCAACACCGTGAGAATCTCACAAGATCACACCGGTTTGTGAGGAGTCAGGCCCTTCTTGGCCAGTTTGTAAATCTGTTCCTTCATGTCATCAGATCCCAGCTTCAGCCAAGTGGGGACATTGCAGCCATACAGCAGAGCAGACTGAGACAGGCCCTTCCTGGGAGCATGCATGCGACCCATGATGGCCTACTATTCTTATATTACTTGCAAGTGAAGAAAAAAGATCATACTCTAGCTTTTTACATTATTTACTCTAGTGGTTTTGTTTAATACTTAACATTTTTAACAAGTGCATATTTTGTAGCATAAAGAAGAAAAACATTTTTATTTTTTGTTTGAAAGCATTTTCTTACTGAAACATTAGCCTCATTTTTCAAAACAGAACTCTTTTCCTCATGGTTTTTTTTGAGGTTTTTTTTGGCAGAACCGGGGATTGAACTCAGGCCCTTCCGCTTGCCAGACAAGCGCTTGTTCTACTGAGCTGTCTCCCCAGCCCCTCCTCATGTTTTTAATTTACCCTCATCTCTATAATTGATTTCTTTATTTTTTAAAAAATATAATCATTATGCATTGACTGTACAATGACTGGTAGTTTTAAATCCGGTTTGTTACTAGAATAATACAGAAAGCCAGATGTGCTAGCATGGGTTCTCTGTGAGGCAGAAGGAATGTACATTCGAGGTCAGCCTGAGAAGTTAGTGAGACCCCATCTCACAGTAAAAGATAAAAAGGGGCCGGCCACATAGCTCAGGAGATTAAAGGGCCTGCAAGCAGGAGCAGGGGCTGGGTCTGACCCCTGGACCTGCTGTGCCGACCCCACCCCCGGGACGCACTGAGACAGCAATTGAGACTGGGCATGGTGGCGCGGGCCGGTAATCCCAGCTCTTGGGAGGCTGTAAACAGGCGGATCACTATGAGTCCAGTCTAGTAGTGAGACCCTGAACACCCTGTAGACCCTTCCCTAAAATACAATAAATAAATAAATAAAATAAAAATAAAAGCTGAAAAAAGGCTGGGAATGTAGCTTGGGGGTAGAGTGCAGCTGGCTTCAATCCCTGACAGCAGAAGCAGAACAAATAAGGCAATACAAAAAAGATGAAGATTGCTTTGGAGAGACATTTGAGTTACCCTGTTGCAAAAGAAAAAAATTGGAATTTGATAAAAGTTAGAGTACTTTTAAAGTTGTCATTTAAAGTAAAAATTACTGTTAGATGATGATAGTGCATTGTAGTAATAAACAGCAAGGGGACCTTTCTTCATGGGTACATAGGTTACATTCTCTTAATTAAATTTGTTCTCAGATTTTATCCTAAGCTTTGTATTGCAGGACAGAATTTGGAAAATATGCTATTTACTGCCAGCGCTGTGTAGAAAGAACGCAACAGAATGGAGACCGAGAAGCAAGGCCCTCAAGAATGGAAATTCTTTCCACCCTTCTCCGAAACCCTTATCATCACTCGCTGCCCTTCAGTATACCAGTGCACTTCATGAATGGGCTGTACCAGGTGGGTTAGCCTCCTACCCAGCCTGTCTAAAGCACACTTGGACACGAATCCTACACGTAACCCCACAGAATACAGGAGTGAGACTACCCAGTGTGGTCAGCAGCTGGCACTGACAAAGCTTCAATTCAGGCTATGAAAACAAACGAGTTTTTAGCCAGGTATGATGGTGCACACCTGGAATCTCAGCACTCAGGAGGCTGAGGCAGGAAGTCACAAGTTCAAGGCCAGCCTAGACTATAGAGCAAAACTGTCTCAAAACACCAAAAGCAGGGCTGGGGAGACAGGGACCCTGAAAGTAGTTCAGTAATATTGCTGAATGGAAGGGAAATAATGCAGAGCCGTTCTGTCACAGCTTCCGCCTTCATTTTTATTATGGTCCTAGCAGAATATTTTTATCCCCGTGATTCCCTATGTGAAGTGGTCAGCAGTCTAAGCACCTGTCTGGCAAGCACAAGGGCCCAGGTTCAGTCCCTGGTACTGTATTCTATGCTGGCCCCAGAAGCCTGGGTATGCCTTGCAGGCTGCTGTAACCGGGCATGGTGAAGCACGCCTGTAATCCCAGCACCGGGGAGGCTAAGACAGGAGAATCACTATGATTCCAAGCTGCATAGCAAGACCCTGTACCAAATAAATACATGAATAAAAAAAAAAATTTAAATAACCAAAAGCAGACAAGCAGCTCAGTTTTGAAACAGTTTTACTACAATGGCTTCACATGAGGAATGAGATTCACTGTCATAATTCTGATGGAGAAAATCAGAAACACTTTGGTCAAGGTGTTCCCAGTCAGTGGACCTTCTAGGTAAGCAAATGATTAGTTCCCCTGGGCACGTACAATTGTAATCTTACAAAACCTCCACATCTCAAGAATTATCTGGGAAAACTCTCAGTTAGCCCTCCCAACTCTCAGATCTGGTCTTGCTTATTAACTGAAGGAAACATGTTGCAAAGTTAGCAGTCAGTCTCTGTAGCCATAGCCTTTCATCACAGAATTCAGATACTCAACTGCCTAGTATTAAAGAAATAAACATTAGACACATAAAAGCATTCATTCATTTAAATGCACTTATTGTTTGTTTGCTTAGAGATTACATATTGTTTTCTTGGTTCGTTTCTCGTGGTAAGCATAATATCTCTGGCTGATATTTATCACGGGCAGATGGTCTTTCTCGTTCGACTTTATGTCTGTTGGCTGAAGCTGAGATCTCTGCATTCTTCCAGCAAGGTAACTGTGGAGGTGGTGGTGTTCGCATCTCCAGTTCAGCTTTGGGATACGGCCTTGCAGCACAGAGAACCACAGTGTGCATCGTCATTAATCATGCATCCAATATGTCCCATTTCTATCACATGTCAGTGTAAAGTTTATATGTATTTTATGAAGAGATGTGCTTTGTTATTTCTCTCTAGGTCGTAGGGTTTGATGCGTCCACCACAGTGGAAGAGTTCCTTACTACTCTGAACCAAGACACAGGGATGAGGAAGCCGGGGCTGTCTGGATTTGCACTGTTCACTGACGACCCTTCTGGCAGAGACCTCGAGCACTGCCTTCAGGGAAACATCAAGGTAACGCCAAATTCTTTTAAGGAGCCAAACTTGGCAGACCGCAGAGAAGCTATTCTTTAATTTTTACAAGAAGTTAAGTTCAGGAATTTTTTAAAAAGTTAATCTAATCATCACCAAAAAAGAAACTGCAGTACTTGGGTAAAGCCATAAAATCTAATCTGCAGTCTGTACACACTTGTACTACACATGAAAGAGAAAAGGGAGTCCTAGTGATATTAATATTCTGCTAGGAACAGAATAAAAATGAAGGCAGAAGCTGAGACAGAACAGCTTTGTGTTGTCTCCCTTCCATTCAGCAACATTACTGAAGCATCTTCAGGGTCCCAGGAGCTGAATGGAACCCAGTGGGGAGCAAAGAAGGGTGAGAAAAGCCTTCTGCGTACGAAGAACTTCACTTCTGCTTAGGGAAGAACAGACCTGTCACTGATAGTATCAGCGAGGACTGAATGTGGAAAGGGTTTATGGGTGCTGTGAGCACAGAGGAAGAGACCGAGGTGGGCACTGGAAACCAGGAAAGAGCAGAACTGCAGTCGGAAGCATGGGTAGAAAGTGGAAGTACAAAGCGAAGCTGAGATTTTAAAAATGTTTTCCAGATTGTAGTAAAAGAAATCCAGTAAAGTTTCCATCAAGTATTGGAAAGCTTTAGCACTACACAAGAGACCTCTGAGAAAGTCTGCTTTCTTGGCAGCTGAGGGAATGGAAGTCTGGAGAGGGAAAAGATTTACTTGAAAGCAAACAGTGAGAACTGGGTGAGGACCCTTTTCTTGAATTATAGTTCAGAATTCTGTGAATTTTCAGCCATTCCAATCTTTACAAACTCAAAAGGTGGAAAAACTGTTTCATCAGTGACCAAATCATTAAAAAAAAAAAAAAAAAAAAAAAAGAATTCCTGGAATCTTCTTGGTTCCAGTCTCATGCAGTGCGTATTCAGATTCTTTTCTGAGTAAAAAATTCATGGCCAGAGTCCAAAGTTAATGTGTGCCCAGAAGGATCAGTGGAGAAATAGAAGCTTTTAATTAAGTCCCACACCCAGAGCTGCACAGAAGCTGGAAACAAAAGCTGGAGCGCATTTGGTTTGATTACATTAAATGAAAATCATCAGCCTGCAGACATACTTGTCTTCCACATCTGCTGGTTTTGAAAGCCCTGTGAATCTCCTTTTTCTGTTTCCCTGCTAGATTTGTGACATCATTTCCAAATGGGAGCAGGCATCCAAAGAACAGCAGCCTGGGAAATGCGAAGGTACAAGAACTGTTCGTCTGACTTACAAAAACAGGTGTGTGAAGCTGTGTCCGGTCACATCAAGCCCCCACCATTTAGTTCCTGTGGAATAGCCTTGAATACTATTTACGGCATTTGTGTATTTATTTTTCTCTAAATGACAGCTATCTTCTAGAAGAAGAAATGAATACATACAGTTCTACTTCTAATTCTCATTCTTTCATATTGTCTTTTTGTCTTTCTCTATTTCTTTTTCCTCAACTGTAAGCCAGTCGCTTAGCTGAATGGTCTGGATACAGTAGGAACAATAAGAACAAACGCAGGCAGTTAGATCTCAACCTTTTGGAGCTTGCAGGTTAGTGAGGCGGGGCTGTTAATCTTCTAGCCACCCTAATGGCTGTATAATTCCGCCATAGCTTCTCCGAAGGAAGAGTGTGGTGCAATGAACGCGTATAGCACGGAGCTAAGCGTCGATAACACAGAGCTAAATCTGGACAGGAGACCTTACCGGGCTTCTTTTAGGAAGTAATGTTCATGCCACAGGCAGAGAGAGGGGCTCCATGTGTCCAAGGATGTTTCCTGTAAAAGGAAGCTGCATTTTAAAGTTGAGAACAGGCCCGCGGAGCTGGACCGTGTACCTTTGCAGCAGTTAAATTATGATGCATTGAGCATGTGGTCACAAACCAGAGTTTCTTTATATTTTCTTCTGTGTACTAGCAGAAAATAGTGCTTAGTGAACACTTAGCTGACCAGTTCACATTAACTTACCAGAATAAAAATTCCTTGCCAGGTTTTTATTTTGTTTTGTTTGTACCGGGGATTGAACTCAGGACCCTGCTCTTGCCAGGCAGGCACTTATTGATATGAACTATCTCCCTGGCCCCCTCCTTGTCGTTTTTATTTGAATCTTATAGCTCATGAATGTAATAACCTATATGTCAAGCCAAGAGCCTCATAGAAATACTAGTATAATGCTAAATTCTTCTTTTCATATTTTTTCTCCTGTGTTTTAGCAGAAAATAATATTTAACAAATGTTAAGTGACTCATTGAAATTAACTTTAACAAAATATATTTTGCTGGTTTTATTTGAATCTTATACCACATAAATTTTTAAAAATCTATAAAATTTTAGGCTAAGAGTCTGGTGGAAATATTGGTGTAGTCCTGGGGGGCCTGGCCCTAGCTCAGTCCTTTAAGTGGCTGCTTCCACAAAGCTGGCAGCCTCAGGTTGCTGGAGTTCGATCCCCACAACACTCCAGCCAGCCAAACCTGCCCTGAAGGCATTCGGAGAAATATCGGTGTAGTCCTATATTCTTTTAGAGAAGTACTTTTGGAAGATGTTTATAGAATTAAAATTGGGATGTAAGAGGTGAGGGCACTGTATGATGTAAACAGCCTAGTAGCCTCTGATCCAGTTCGCTGGTTTTTTTCTCAGATACTCTATGCCACAGACATGCTCATATCCGTAGGCAGAATATTCTGCGATAGCCCAGTATCTTCTTCGCTACATTTTTATAACAGTGAAAAATGGAGGAGCCTTATTCATCAGTAGGAGAATGGTTACATTTAAATGCTACCTTCGTATTTTGGGCCGTCTCTCTCACAGTCAGCCGCTAAGGGCCACCTCGTGTTTGAACAGACTCCTTTAATCCAAATCAGTCCTCATGAACCAACGGCGCTTCTTTATTCCGGAGCTTGTGGACCGTGATGTTTTCCAACATTCTGAGTAGTCAGACGATAACTCTCCAGTTTTGGTATCTATGGTTTTAAATTATACGTTGCTGGGGATAAGCAACCTCAGATAATGTAATGGGATGTGCTCCTAGAGGAACCTGTTTCCACGAATGCCGCTTCACCTGTGGCCCTTTAATGGCTGGCAAGAGCAGCTGGAGGAAGGTGGGGGCCGTCCATGGTCGTGTTAGTGCTGCTTGGTGCTGGAGCTTGGTTCTGGACGGAGGCCCTGGACTGAGAGCTTGGGGATCACGTGGAAGTGTTAGCAGTGCAAACTGTGCAGCCGCCGGGCCTCCCCTCACGCCCGGGACTCCACAGGGCCTAGCAGCTCTTCGGTGCTTATTACCTGCTCAGTTTGGAGCGGCACTCACCTGAGAGCCCTCTTTGTCTCCCTGTCTGTTGGTCACCCTGCTTGGGGAGGAGCTGGCGTCTGGGCCTGGCCATATCTTCCTAGGTCAAAGCAGCTCAGCAATTCCCATTTGCTTTCCTCAAGTGGGGCGGCTTCCATATCTAAGACAGCGCATAATGATCTGTGCCTTCTGAATGCGTAACGCATGCTCATTCTGATTGTGATGACTACAGTTGGCGCCTAGATTAAATCTGTACGACGTGGACAAAAGTAGGCTAACAGACACAGATAGGATAATGTTGTGAGTCTCACACCATTAGTACTGAGAGTGGTATGAGTCACAGTGAAGATTGCCTTGTTATACAAATAAATAAACTTCAGGACAAAATTTTGACCTGAAAAAACCCTCAACTCAACTGAGAGGTTTAATTTTTAGCAGAAACCTGAAATGGCTGCAGAGCCACAGCTACAAATTTCTGAAGGTAACTGTGTTACGCATATGTGTGTAAGTTGCTTAGACAAAGACAGATTTCCAGTGACACAGAGGGAAACTGGCTGTGACCTGCCATGCAGCCAAGGACCTGATTTTTTTTTTTTTTTTTGTCTGCCAAATAGCACTATAACAAACAAAACTAAAATACCAGTTCTCTTTATTATGGGATTTAAAATTTATATTTAGTAAGTTATAAAATTTTAATCATGTAGATTCAGAATTTAAAGATCTAATAAATGGATTTTGAACTTGATCTAACAGATAATCATTTGGAAACTAGCACTTGAGTTTTATTCATATTAAAGCTTATTTTACTTGGTTTCTTACCATGTGTTTGAAATTGCAAAAGTCAAAACATGTTTTTAATTAAATGAAACTGGTGGGGCCAGGGAGATGGCTCAGTAGAATAAACAAAACTGGTAAGCGTCCTTCCCTTCAGAGAGAAACTATTCCTCCCCCTCCTTGAAAGTCAGAGATTTTGGAGGACTAAGGAGATAGCTCAGTGGCTTAAGTGCCTGCCTGGCAAGCACAAGATCCTGAGTTCAATCTCTAATACTAAATAATAATAATAATAATAATAATAATAATAATAAAAAGTCAGAGACTGCTCAGTAGTGCTTTGTAGCTATCATTTCCTGGAACATAGTCCAACATTCCCATCTCTGCCACCTTTGGCCAACTCCAAGGGCCGTGTGTCCTCTGGCTCGTGTGTCCTCTGGCTCCTACGTCAGAAGGATCCCGATGGGCATGTTCATTCGTTCTTTCTTTCTTTCTTTTAATTTTGTGTGTCTGTGTGTGTGGCCAGCTCAGCCCACCAGGGGGCGGGGCTGGCTGGCATGTGGTGCTGGGGGATTGAACTGCAGTCCTTGTGCTTTGTTTAGCTTAGCTTGTTCTAAGTAGGTGCTTTAGACCACTGGGCCATCTCACCAGCCTCTTTCTGTCTTTCTTTCTTTCTTTCTTTCTTTCTTTCTTTCTTCCTTCCTTCCTTCCTTCCTTCCTTCCTTCCTTCCTTCCTTCCTTCTTTTCTTTTCTTTTTCGTACTGGGGATTGATTTCAGAACCTTGTGTGCTTGCTTGCCAGGAAGGTTCTGTGCCACTGAGCTATCTCCCTGGCCCTTTGTCGCATTTCTTTTAGCTGTTTTCACACTGAAAGAATTCCAGAAAGGAAACTCTGTTATGATTCTAAAGATCTCTTCAGAAGAACGCTACTGCTAAGATGGACCCAGTGGTACATGCCAGTAAGTGTAGCTATGCAGGCAGCTGAGGCAGGAGAGCTACAAGTTCAAGGCCAGCATGATCAGTACAGCAAGATCCTGCTGAAAGAAAGAGAGAAAGAAAGAAAAAAAGAAAGAAAGAGAAAACAAAATAAAAGCTAGTACTTTTAATAAGAAATCACCTACATTGTTGAACATTCCCCCACACCAGGCCTTGCTGAGGTCTTCCTGTGCAGTATCTCATAGAATCTTTTTTTTTTTTTTTTTATCTCATAGAATCTTAACAACACCTGTCAGGTCTTGTCAGGTCTGTGCTGTCATGATTTCCATCTTGTCGTTGAGGTATCTAAACTTTAGAGCGTCATACGGTCACATAACCAAAGCTACAAAAATGGGGGTTCTTCAGACTTTTTTTTTTTCAAGTGTGACCCTTTTATTACACATTGCTATTTTCAGTGCAGTTGCTTAGTTCACAGGTATCAGCATGTATAGTTAGTCAGGGTGAGAATCCTACCAATTAATTGCTAGTTTCAAAAACCTGCTGATGTTTCTCAGGATCATTGCTTTTGCCAATCTTTTTTTTTTTCTTTTCAAAGTTTTATTGATAAACATATAGCAATGAGACAGTTTCAAATCAAATCGAAAGTACAGTTTCAACAAATAAT